TTGTTCTGAGACACTCGGCCTCGGTACGCTTCGCGGATCCTGCATTTCTACAAGCGGAAAATCTGTGGCAACCCTGCGCTGAACCAGTCTATCTGCCAGTTCTACAACATCATGTGCTCACTCTGTGTCTGTCACATTTTCACAATTCCTAAAATATTGCAAACTTTTTCATTATTATTATATCTGTTATAGTGATTTTTGATCAGTTGAACTTACTATTTTAATTGTTTTGGGGCACCACAAACTTAACTGATAAATGGATTCTGTGTGTTCTGGCTGCTCCACTGAAAGGCTGTTCCCTCTCTATCTCTCCACGGGCCTCCTTAGTCCCAGACACATAACAACATTAACATTCAATCAGTTAATAACCCTATAATAGCCTTTAAATATTCAAGTGAAAGGAAGAGTCACAGGACTCTGTTTAAATAAAAGCCTAGAAATGATTAAGCTTAGAAAGGAAGGCAGGTGGAAGCCGAGAAAGCCAGGCTCGTCCACCCAACAGTGAGCCAAGCTGTGAACGCAAAGAAAAAGTTTTTGAAGCCAATTAAAAGTGCTATTCCAGTAAAAACATGAGTGATAAGAAAGCAAAACAGGCTTTTGCTGGTAAGGATAAAGTTTTAGTAGTGCAGATAGAGGATCAAACTGGGCACAAACATTCACTTAATTCAAAGCAAAGTCCTACTTCTCTTCAATGCTATGAAGGCTCAGGGATGAGGAAGATGCAGAAGAAAAATCTGAAGCTAGCGGATGCTGACTCAAGAGGGGTAAGAAAAGAAGCCAACTCCAGAACCTAAATGCAAAGTGAAGCAACACGTGCTGATGTAGAAGCTACAGGAAGTTATCTAGAAGATACAGCTAAGATAATTGATGGAGGTTAACTGACTAAACAGATTTCCAGTGTAAGTAAAACAGCCTGCCACTGGAAAATGATGCCATCCAGGGCTTTCATGCCTGGGCAGAAGTCAAAGTCTGGCTTCAAAGCTTCAGATAACAAGCTGTCCCTCTTGTTAGGGGAAAATGTAGCTGGAAACTTTAAGTTGAAGCCAGTGCTCATTGATGACTCCAAAGATCATAGGGCCCTTTAGAATTGTGTAAAATCAACATTGCCTGTGCTCTAGAAATGGAATCACAAAGCCTGGATGATGGCGCATCTGTTTATAGAATGGTTCTCTGAACATTTTAAGCCAACTGTTGAAACCTACTGCTCCGAAAAAAAGATTCCTTGAAAAATATTACTGCTCATTGACAATGTATCTGAACATCCCCGAGCTCCAGAGGAGACTGACAAGGAGAACGCTGTTTTCAAGTCTGATAACACAATATCTATTCTGTAGCCCATAGTTGAAGATGTAGTTTTGGCTTTCAAATCTTATTATTTAAGAAATACATTTTGCAAGGCTACAGAGGTCATAGATAGCAATTACTCTGACAGATTTGGGCAAAGTAAATTGAAAACCTTCTGGAAAGGATTCACCATTCTAAATCCCATTAAGAACATTTGTGATCCATGTGAGAAACTCAAAATATCAACATTAACAAGAGTTTTGGAGAAGCTGATTCCAACCCTCATGGATGACTTTGGGGAATTCAAGAATTCAGGAGAAGAAATAACTATAGATAAAGTATAAATGACAAGGGAACTAAAATTAGATGTGAAGCCAGAAGATATGACTAAATTGCTGTAATCTCATAATAACACTGGGATGGATCAGGAGTTGCTTCTAATAACTACCACTCAGATTTTATCTTACAAATGCCAATAATATGTAACCTAATTGTGCACACCCCCATATTAATCTGAAAATTAAAAAAAATGGATAACAAAAGTGGTTTCTTGAAATTGATTCTATTCCCAGTAAAGATCCTGTGAATGTTGTTGAAATGAAACCACAGGATTTAGACTATTCTATAACTTTGTTATATAAAGTTGAGGCAGGATCTGAGAGGACTGAGAACAATGTTGAAAGAAGTTCTATGTGAATGAAATGCTATCAAACAGCATCCACAGTTTCAGAGGAATCTTTGATGAAATGAAGAGTCAATTGATGGGCAAATTTACTTTAAGTGATTCCTACAGGCACCTTGACCTTCAAGAACCACACCCTGATCAGCCAGAAGGCATCAACAATGAGGTAAGACCTTCCACCAGCAAAAAAGTTATGACTTCCTTAAAGACCAAACCATCATTAGCATTTCTAGCAATAAAGCATTTCTCAAGATATACTTTTAGATGTTACTATACTATTATGATAATATCTAAATAATACTATTGCACAGCCAATGGACTGCAGTATAGCAGAAATATAGCTCTTATACACACTGGGAAATAAAAAATGTGTTAGACTCGCCATATTGTGGTTTGGAATCAAACCACAAGATCTCCAAGGTATGCCTGGCTATACTGTATATACACATATACACACTCCTTTGAAAAAAATGGAAATACATATAAGATGACATTACATGAAATAGATGGCACTGAAGTTCGGAAAAACATAAATTTTGCTTTTTTACACATCTGTATTCTTTGAATTGTTCAATATGCATTACCTTTAAAATTATGTGTCCAAAAATCATTTAAACATATCTAAGTATACCGTGTACACCACTAACACATGTGTCTGCATTAAACACCAGACCTGATGTTATTTGCAAGCAGATGTTTAAATGTTCTATTTTATAATGACAATTATTATAATCATTTTGCTAAAAAGACATATTCAAGAAACTTGATACTAATTACATGATTCCTTTTATAACCTAATAAAAAGGAAGCACATGAGTTTCAAGATGTCAAAGGGTACTCCATGACGGCACTATTTCCCTGACGTCATAACTGCATCAGCAAAGAGAGCCCTGAACACACACACACCTGTTCTTGGAATAAGACCTACACACAACCTGTCACAGACACAAAGCTTGTATGGCACCCTTCTCACTTTGGCAGGAGTCAAAGGAGATATGCCCAAACACCCTAGTGGTCCTTTACGGACCCTTCACTGACAATACCATGTTGCAACGTCCTGGCCGAGACTCTGGAAATGTGCTCAGACTGACTTATGTGAATACAGGATTTCTTCATATTACTTTTCTTAATTAAGGTTCCCAAAATTACATAAGTTTTAAGCTCTACTAAATCTGGATCTCTTTCTGTTTGAAGATAAGTTGAATCTCAAACAACTGTTGTTTAATCAAAGACATCAATATCCCCATATAAATGATATTTATTCTTGAAAAGGTCTACTTTATATGTGTGTATCTACATTCATTTGTAAAACTAATATTTTGTATTTGGGGTAACTGAATGAATTGCTTCTAAAATCCTGAAAACAGAATCTTTCTTTTAGATAGGAACATTAAGATCAGTACTTAATAAATGATAGAGGAGATATGTCAACCACCAGAACAAAGAGAATAAATCCAAGTCCAGTGTCACTAAGAAAAAGATGACACAAGACATGGAAACAGTAGCAGGAAAGTCAAAGCAGCAAAAGCTGGTGGTCCTCCTTAGGAACTGCCAAGGGGAGATGGCAGGTTAGCCAATGAACTCGAATTTAATACACAGATAGGTGGCCAGGTGCATTACAAACATATCTGACATATTTCTGAACCTACTAGGGAAGATCTTCTTCCTTGGGAAAAAACATGTCAGTCTAATTAATCTGATGCCACTAGAACATTTAATTAACCTAATCCTCCTTGTCCTAATTCTATGTTCTTGAAACAAACTTTCGATTGCTACCTGGCTTCCTACATGATTCTGACCTCATGAAATGCCAATAGTCTGACCTTTGTGACTGTGATATATATATATTTATAGATCAGTAAAACAGAATGCCATTCATCACATTACCTTGGCTAATGGGATTTGAATTCTGAAAAAGGAATCCATTTTTATTTGCTAATGAGTATCTGAGGACAATGACTGAACTCTGGACTATAATAAATTTAAGAAGGAACCTATTGGGATCTTGGGAGAATAAACTGCCAGCCTTTCCCTTTAAAAGTGCCAACTGTTGCATGATTGTTTAAATTTCAATTTGTATTTTAATTAGCCTCACAATATATCATCATCAATTTTGTCAAACAGTGAAATGTCTAAAGTAAATATAAACGAAATGCACATAAAACAAAAAGCAATGTTTACATTTCTTTTCTCAATTATAAATCTATGCCAAATTACATTTCTTTTCTTAAATATCAATTTGTTCCAGATAACACGTTCTGGCTTCTAAGCTTCTTAAAGTGACTGTTACCTGTGTGATTGGTTATTCAGGTTTAGCAGTCCGGACTGGTACATCTCTTCCAGCTGCTTCCTATTCCCGAAGTACAGAGCCAGGTCTGTGGCGATGATGGCTTTGCGGATGATCTCCAGGACCTGCTCATACTCGCTGGAGCTCAGAGTGGAGAAGATGTTATGTCCCTCCAACTACGGAGAAAACACAAATATAAACCACCAGTAACAAACACAAGTGCTGATCTCTTGACAGTTTTAATTATTTGAAACAATTTAGTCAGGCAAAGCCATTTGGCACACTAATGATAGGTTTTAGAGGAACAAAAGAATAGTTTGAAATGACTGTGATGAAAACAGCATTTTGGAGTCTTCTCAAGCTACAATAACAGGGAAGTCACCACCGAAACTATCTCAGCAGTGAAGCCATTTGCTGCCATAAAACTCCAGTGATTTAGACAGACCTAGTTCTTGGATAATTCTCATAGTTAAAGGAAAATGTAAAATATTTAAGTTAAAGACATTCCTCTTAAGGTAATTAAAAAACTTAGCAATTGTTATATTATTCTGGAATTTAAGGGGCTTAAAAAGGCATCTCTGTCCTTGTCCGTTTCAGGTTGTGTCTTATCACAGCAAAGGCTGATGAACGGTAATCTACTTTTCTGTGACCTGGAAGAAAATGTCCCACAGCCTGAATATGATGTTACTCAAACAGATCAAAAACTCCCATTACAGGGAGATCTTCTCCTTTAGTCTCAAGGGAGATGAGAAATGGCAAGTTATCACTGGAAATAAGACCAAAAAATGGATAATTTAGATACTTTTATCTAAGAATTATTCTTCTATACAGGAATCTTTTAAAAACTTTTTACAATAATTTATTCCTCTAAGAATTTTAAGTTTATATTTGTAATTGAGATAAAGTTTTTGTTGAAACCAAAAAGGTTGAGATAATTAAGATCCATTTATGGTGGCACTTGTAGCTCAAGCAGCCAAGGCACCAGGCACATACACCAGAGCTGGCAGGTTCAATCTGGCCCAGGCCCACCAAACAATGACAACTATGACCAAAAAATAGCTGGCGTTGCGGTGGGCACCTGTAGTCCCAGCTACTTGGGAGGCTGAGGCAAGAGAATTGCTTAAGCCCATGAGTTTGAGGTTGCTATGAGCTGTGAGGCATCATGGCACTCAACGCAGGGCAACAGCTTAAAGCTCTGCCTCCAAAAAAAAAATCTATTTAATTTGTGGGTTCAATTATTTTTATTTATTTATTTATTTATTTTTGAGACAGACTCTTGCTCTGTCATCCAGGCTAGAGCAGTAGAGTCATCACAGCTCACTGCAACCTCAAACTCCTGGTCTCAAGGAATTCTTGTCCCGAGGAGTTGCATCTACAGATGTGAACCAACAGGCATGGCTAACCTTTTCTATTTTTTTGTAGAGACAGGGTCTTTCTTTTGCTTAGGCTGGTCTTGAACTCCTGGCCTCAAGTATTCCTTCTGCCTCCACCACCTACAGTGCTAGGATCACAGGCTATCTTTCCTTAGAAAGTTTTAATAATAGTATTACAATCATGAATAATTCCATGGAAGCTCTAGGCTCCTTAGCTCTATAAAGGAGATTCTCACAGGAGGGCCTGGAAGCTCCCAGTTCTACATTTGCTTGCTGGCATACAGGCCTAGATCCCGAGCAGTGCTGCACCAACTGAGTTGTGAATCACTATCATGGAAGCCACAGGTACTTTGGAATGAAAAGAGTACTTGCGTCAGCATTCGTGCAACAATGCCATTAAAAGATGCAAACGCATAATACTTATTTTGAAATTTATTCACCTAGTATGTGGCATCAAACCACACGATAGGAAGCATTTTAGTATTGTAATTAAGGATACAGACTTTGGGGTTAAAATTAAGAATATGTTCTTAATAATGAATGTTTCTAATTAGTCTGTTATTTAAACTTTGACTTCTGCCTACTTAACCTGGGGCATTCCCAGAAGGCAGGAGACAGACAAAGGACAGCCTCAGTGATGACAATAATCACTAATGCTATCTCACGAGGAGAAACAATAATTTAATATTCCAACTATAATGGTTCTATTACAACTACTGAGTGTAAACCAGTGAGTTTGAGGAAACAAAGGACGCCTGCCTCCTTGGACGTTCCTACTCACACTAGTGCTCCCCTCCTGAGGCCTTCCCCTCACCTCCTCGGGCCCTAAACAAACCAAGGCTTCGGTTTCTGGTCTTGGAGCATTGCTCACCCCGTCTGCCCACGCGGCATCACCTCCGACACACGCTCTGCCTTCACAGGCCAGCACTGCGGGGAGGCGGGGTGCTGTGGCTACAGAGATGAGTAGGGTGCTGGCTTTCTTCATCACTTATGAGTCACAGGAGGTGGAAAGTGAAGCTCACAAAACTTTCAATATGATTTAACAACATCAACAAAAGCACCAAACCCTAGGATGACACGATGTGTCTGGGGTGTGCATGGGCACGTGAAGGGCGCTGCTATGAAACAAGTCTCCTGGGGCAGCAGTGCCCGGCTGAGCCTGAACAGGAGCAGCAGCTGGTGCCGGGCAACAGGAAGGGGGTGAACAACAAAGCCACAGCAGGCACTGTAGTCTTCAAACAGCCAGGGGCCATTCATAAAAATGTGTGTATATCAATTGAGAAACCAAACAATTCTCCCTGAGGCCATGGACAGCCCTGGGGCTTGTCAGCAGAGCACAGTGTGCTCAGGCACATGTCTGGAGGATGATCTGAGAGAAACACGCCATAGAAGAGCGATGGATGACCCCCTTGGGGTCATCCTCTCTGCCAAATGCCCATGAGGGCCTCTGTGAGGTGACAGGCCCCAGTCACCAGGAAAACAGTCCTGATGCCCAACATTAAGTGATAAGAGGCTTCTCAGCAGCTGAGAAGGCAGCTTTGTCCCTCCTGCAGATGCTCTGATTGTCCCAATTATTTTATTCACGACGTAACCCCTTCCCATTGCCCACTCAGCGAGGGACTGCCCCTGCCTCCTTCTCAGTGTGACCAAACACGCATCTCCTGCCTCTCTGTACCACGGGTAGGGTGTGCCTGTTGGGCTACTAGTTACCTTTCAGACCTATTTCACGGCTCTCTCCACTGTGGCTGTCACTGTATTGGCCAGTAGTTTGGTTGACTGCCCAGATCACCCAGCGGTAATATGGCAGCCACAGGGAAAGCTGCACTCAGGACAATGATGTATGATGTGCAGCCACACGCTCGCAGCTGCGAGAAGCCTGACTGGGAACCACTTTCCAGGGTTACATACTCAACTGTTGTATTTTATGTGGCTTTACTACCAGAGGTTGGATAGATCTAGACCCATGATCGCCTAGGTATCAGTGGAGATAAAGACTGCCTGCTGAGACCAAGAAGGCAGCAGGAAACGTCTCTGTGGGTCAACAGAGGCAGTGGAGGGATTAATAGCACGGAACAGACAGGGTTCTGTCCCACTTTGGTGACTCTGGAAATTGGAATTCTTATTGTTACCCCAGGAAATCACCATGATCAGTCAAGTCTGGAGATGTCTTTGGGCAGGGCTTGGTGAGCGCATGAGGGGAAGAGGGATAAGGATAAAGAAGGCAGAAATGACAACTCTAAGCCACCAACCTGTGTCCCTGGGTGAATCAGGTTGCGGCCATGGGAATATAAAAAGAAAAGGTGTCTAAGGAAAAATAAGAAACACAAGATTGGCGTCCGTGAATGCTGAGCTCAGGGCTGGAGATGCAGTCCAGTGCTACAATTCCTTTAGGGCAGGAGCCGCTCGTTCAGTAAATCCGAACTGTTTCTAAACAAAGGCAACAGTGGGTCATCTATGGCATTTCTTCTTCTTATACAAATAAAGAAGAGTGAGGTGAGAGTCGATATGAAGAGTGAGGTGAGAGTCGATATGAAGAGTGAGGTCAGAGTCAGTATAAAACATCATCAAGTTCTAGAGCAGTGGTTCTCGACCTTCCTAATGCCATGGCCCTGGAATACAGTTCCTCTGGGTCACAACCCACAGGTTGAGAACCCCTGTTCTAGAGTCATCTATTTACGAAACATCACGCTTTAGTACACACTTACATACATTATTTCCTGTTTAAATTTCTATGTATGTTTGTACATAGAAACATAGAAACCTCAACATATGTCGTTTAAAAACAGAAAGGAGTGGTGTCAGGACAGATCATGGCAGGGTGAGCCCACCCCACTGTCAGGACAGGCCTGGCCTATGGGGCAGCAGGAGCACTGCCTGTCACCTAGAGGCTTGAAGACGACGCACATGGGTTGCACCTTAGCAGGACTCTGGCTCCCACCCAGTAGGTGGTCAGAGCAGCACCCACAGTGGAGGGAATTAATTGATCATTCACCTTCTTAGGCCTGAGGAAACCAGAGTTGGTTTGGATAGGTAAGTACAACCAACCACGTGAGTGAGCAGTGAGGCCAAATGAGGGGACACTCAGGAAAGCCATTGGGCAGCTGAGAGGGGAAAAAGCACCCTGGTGTTTAGAGGAGGCCAGGCTGATGTGAGAAAGAAAACCTGCCCGGTGGGAGAGCCTTTCTGCTTTGTGACTTGCCTGTAGCCACTCGTGGGACGGGACTCTGCTGGGGCTTCACTGGGCAACTGTGAACGTCTGAAGCCGTTCCCTTAGGCGTATAATCAGAAGGGCTAAAAAGGATTTCTCTTCCGACTGAGAGGTGCTCCCAATGAGAGAAAGAGATAGGGTCCATTTGAAGCCAAACACAGATCATATTTTTTTAAATTGTCTGTGACAGGTAACCACCATGATGTGATAACTACCTGCTGGTCAGTCTGAGGGAAAAGGCCTAAGACAGAAGGAGCATGTATGTCTTACATGGAAATGAGACAGGTAAAGTGAAAAATAAAACACAAAAAAGAAAAGGGATTCAATGCACTTGATACCTTGAATTTACCTGACATTTAAGATATACTGCTTATACCTTCTGAGTCAAGAATATAATAATCCATATCGTTGATTTAAAAACTACATAAAATAAATTTTGCTTAGGGTATCATGTACTTATTGACATAATAACTAAAAAAGAAATGTTATTGCAAAATACATACATTCAAAAGCTTTGAATAGGATTCTTAATCCACAAAAACATCATCATTTAATTATGAGTGGTAATTCTAAAGTTCTACAGTAAAATATGGCTGTTTTGAAGGAAGTCCTAAGAACATTCCTTTCCACTTGTAAGGAACCGCTATCTCTAGACCCCCTCCTCAGAGAGCAGGGTGAGGTATGACCATCTCACCTGCAAGATGGACACGGTTTGGGAGAAGTGGTGCTGCTCCATGGTGGAGGTGGAGTAGAGGGCTGCCAGAGGGTGGTCGAACTTCTGCAGGTAGCTGTTACTGAAGCCCCTGTGGTCCAGGTCATGACACAGACACGCGATCAGCAGTCCTTTGCGCTTAAAAAGTAACATAAAAGAGAGATGTTCAAAACCGGGAAGGGGGACATGAGGGGACTTGGAGCTTACATTCTCATCACAGTTAATTTCTGCCATTAACACAGCAAACACCTGTAGGAATCTCCAAAGTTTCTGATAATATAGCTTCTTTTTAACCCCTGTGTTTTTCTGCTTAGGAAATTGACAAACTATTTTTGAGTTTCCCCGCTCAACTCTAGCAGAAGATGTAGGAAGTATCAAATTCAAGGTATAAGCAAATGTTCAAAAAATTATGGGTGAAGAAAATCTGCACAAAAAAAGGTCAGTTTCAACTCTTCTTCCTTAAAAAGAATCTATTCAATTTAAATTCTAATAAGGCTACTGCTGTTATAAACAATGAATGTAAAGAGAAATCATATGGCATGTAAAATGGCACTTTTTAGAGATATAAGGGAAAGGAGAGCTCGAGAGAGGAGGCCACGGAAGGCCACTGGACACGGAGGTGAGAGAGGAGGCCATGGAAGGCCGCTGGACTCAGAGGTGAGAGAGGAGGCCACGGAAGGCCGCTGGACTCAGAGATGAGAGAAGAGGCCATGGAAGGCCACTGGACTCAGAGGTGAGAAAGGAGGCCATGGAAGGCCGCTGGACTCAGAGGTGAGAGAGGAGGCCATGGAAGGCCGCTGGACATGGAGGTGAGAGAGGAGGCCACGGAAGGCTGCTGGACATGGAGGTGAGAGAGTAGGCCACGGAAGGCTGCTGGACATGGAGGTGAGAGAGGAGGCCACGGAAGGCCACTGGACACAAAGGTGAGAGAGGCGTAGGTGCCTGGGAAGGAAGCTGGGCAGAGAACAGGGAGAGGGCATCCTGATGGTGACCCTGGAGTCAGAGGGTCAGGAAGGAGTCGGCAGTGGGCAGGCAGGCAGCTGGAGCCAGTCAGCCCTGATATTTTCAGTCACTGAGGGCACTGCTTCGTGGCCTGGGGTACAACATTGCCGTTATCTAACTTATATTGTCAAAAGATCATTCTGGCAACTCTACTGACAACAAACTAGAAGGATAAAAGAGACCAGTGAAGAGGCTTTTGTAGGAACTGAGGTAAAATATAATCAAACCTTAGACCAAATAACTACAATAGGAGCACAGTCTGAAGCAGGCAGAAGCCAGAGTATGTCCTGACTGGGTGTGAACAGAAGGGAAGGAACAGAGAGGTCAAGTGCCACCCTAAGGGTCTGGCCTTAGCCACTGTAATGACTGCCATCAGCTCATGTGGGACAGCTGCAGGGGGCAGGGTGAAGAGAGAGGTCAGAGTTCAGGGTTGGACTGAGGTGAGACGTCAGACGAATGTAGACTTCCAAGGCAGGTATTTTGAGTTGACAGTTGGCTGTTTACATCTACAGTTCTGGGGACAGGCCTGAGATGGAGTTAAAACTGTCATCTACATGTGGCATTTAAAGCCACAGGACTGGCTGAGCTCAGCAAAGCCATGCTTTGAGAACAGAGAAAGGTCAATCTCTGAGCGCTCAAGTATTCCAACTCTGGGAAGTCTGAGGAAAGAGAAGGATCAGCAACAAAAACTCCAAAACAAAACAAGGGAGGAGCAGCCAGTTCAGTGGCAGGACAGACAAGTGTGCTGGGTGTCTGAGGGCCAAGGGGACACGCTGAAGGGCAGCGTTGAAAGCTGACGCTTACATCTCACAAGCTTTGGGCCACCAGGGACCTTGACCAGAGCACTGTGGGGCCTGGGAGGAGCATTAAAGTTAGAAGCCTGAAGAGAGTTGTTTTCAGAAACAAAGTGAGGGGTGGATTTTAAGAGCCAAGACAGCAACTCTTAATTGGGTTTGCTTGGAAGAAGAGCTCAGAACAAGGGGTGCAGCCAAGGGTGACGCCTGTGGAGAAAGGGCTAAAGACGGAAGTAGTGAGAGCATGCTCATGTGCATGTGGGCGTGAGCCATGAGGAAGGATGAGGACAGGTGACAGCATGATGCAGGGGAGGGGAGAATAGCCAGGCGGGGTTCTGGAAGCAGTGGGACATGATGGAGATGCCAAGAGAAGGGGTTGGCTCTGGAGAAGTGTGGAGACTGCATTTAAGGGAAGCACGGGAAGAAGAGGCCACGGAGGCAAGTGCAGACAAGCAGGGGTGTGGCTCCGGCAGTCCACAGAGGCTCTTGCCAGTGAGTTCCCATCTACATGACCCACTCCTTCTTTCCACTGGTAATGCAGAACTGGTTTCTCCTGCAGCCTGACGCAGGGAAGCGCCCTGGCACAGGCACACCTGCACTGATGGCGGGACACGCTGCCAGCCGCAGGTGCATCAGGTGCGTGGCGTTCTCCGTGTGACTGAGTTAGTTATGCTTTTAGCATTGTTTTATTTGGAGGTTGTTCCCATACTTTCGCTGCTGTGTCAACATGACATATCTGGTAAATGTCAACATTTTAAAATTTTGCACATTCGATTATCTTCATCTTTCCAATTATTTAACTCATTCTGTAATGACTTTAACTCAATAGTCTTTTTTTAAAGTGTGTCAGAATCATACATCTGAAAAGATATAAATTACCCTTGTTCAAAATTTCTCTTTAACAAGGCAAGAGATCGTTTATAATAGTTCTATTAAACTATTTAACTTAGATATTAAATATTTAATAGTTAAATGAGTTAAATAGATGAATTTAACTTAGATGTTAAATATCCTCTTTATAAAATATATTTTAAATATTTACATATGCTATTTGGGGATTATTTTCAGCCAAAAAGACCTGAGTTTAAGGGAAAATGTTACGCTATAATTCCAGAAATGAATTGGAAACTTAAATGGGACTAATATGTATTAACAAAGTCTTTCCCGTTTATCTTTAAAATTTGTAGTTTTTGAATATAAACTCCAATGCTATTTGAAAGTATGATGTTTAGAGTTAAACTCACAGGCTAACCAATGGTAAAAAAGACAACAAAATTGCTTTCTTAAAAGGAATGAGCGGAGAAAATGCTGAAAGTCTCAAAAACGTGGGGTACAATGGAATAGAGAATTGTTTAGACAAACATATGAAAAAAGAACAGATTTCATCTGGATTTAGGGGGTGATAAATAATAAATTCTTTATTAGGTTAAAATTCCACTTCAACTAAACATTATTTATAAAAAAAAAATACAGGAAAGGTTTTGACTCTTTCTTTAATTTTTTTCTGGAAAGCACCTTCTAAGTTTTCTGCTCACATTGTGAATTTGGCCTGATAGGATGGACAATGAATAGGACAGACCTTCAGGAGTTCTGGTTTTAAAACGTGACTTTGAGAGAAGAATGTACGTCTCACAGAGACCACAGCCCCTTCTCAGCAGCCAGATGTCACCTGAAGGATGGTACCAGTTGCTGTGGAACTTCGTCGAGGCTGCCAGTAGCACCACTGGGACCAACATGGTCAGAGGAGCAGACCTCCAGGTCAGGACTGTACAGATGTCCATTCAGCACCATCTGGGGCCAAAGAGTTCCCTGATGCTAAGTACCCCCTGGACTTTCTCGACTGAGGGATTCTGCTGTGGTGGGGAATGGACAAGGCAGTCCAATCTTCTGAGACCCCGAGTCTCCAACTCTGAATACATCAAGTCACGGGAATCAATTAAACACCCTCGATCTCCCATCTCCTTATGCTGAAGGTTGAAATCATCTATATCATAACTGGATGTAATGCTGTGTGTTTGCAAATTGGCAATACACAGCTATCTACCCAGGGCATATGGGCAGTGAAAGGTTCACTTTGTATGGATCTATTCAGAATACTGAAGCTTTAATTGGGAAGAAAGATTAAAATTAGTGTTCCCATGCAGAATATTCTGGCGAAGTTGAAATGTCTGTATCTATAGTTCTTATATGAAAGAAGATGCTAAATGCTTGGTAACAGGAATCTAAAAAAACATCCCTCTATTGATTTACTGACCCAAATTCTTTCCTAAAATAACATGTCATAAGCCACGTCATAAATGTGCTCCAGAAAGACTATGAAACCAACGGAGGCTGTGTGGGCAGGTGAGCCGCGTGCACCCACCTCCAGGTCTGTGAACAGCTCTTGGGTGCTCTGCAGGATGGCGTACATGCAGTGTGCCACCGTGACCGCGTGCTTCCAGTTGTGGTACGGGACTCGGCGGTAGTTCTTCTTCACAGACATAATAAAGCGACACAACTTTTCAAGATCAAAGCTGTGTGGAAAAGAAACTGTTATGACCCAAACCAGTAGAGATTCACTGCACTGCAGGTTTTAAACACACACGTCTGTGCCGTCACACTCGACTGTGAGGAGCTCCACACTGACAAAATCCGTGAGCACCAGAAACTCACTCTTTCCCTTCCATTTTCCAGCCAGAAAGTTGCAAGGGAATGGCTTTCATAATTTTTGTACTGTTAACTATCTCACCAGAATTAACACAATCACCCATCATGGACCTCCATGACTGCCCACAGATTTACAAACATTTCTTATACCTCACAGTGCTTGAAAGACACAAACACAGCATCATCCTACTCAAGGGTATTTTCAGATAGTATGTTCCAAACAGCATATTCAGATTTATAAACTGCAGATATGTATGTCATGAGACTATTCTGCCGGAGTGAATATTCTTTTGAAGTTAATCTAAGGTATTCTGGTACACTCTAATTACTAAGTGGCAAATGACCATCTCCGAATGCACAGCAGAGGGAATCATACGATGTATATATTCTTATATATTTTGTCATTATATGTTATTTTTATATATTTTTATATTAACATGTATTTACACCTAAGTCCATCCCAACTCTCAAAATAGATTTAGGGTAGCTTAAAAATAGAAAACTCTCAAAATAGATTTAGGGTAGTGTATCCATATAAAGCAGGGCTCTCTCAAATGGCAAGCAGACTGAGAACTCCCAACAGCTTTCAAAAATATGCAACCTGTGTTTTCCTCCACAAAAATTTTCAAATGTCTTTGAAAGACAAAATACGGCATTTTAAGAGTTCCCAGTGGTCAAACTCTCAAATGATTTCTAAACATTAACTGCAGTTATCCTGTGTGCACCCTTCAGAAGGGCAACTTATAAAAGGGCACGGAATCCAAGAATGACCACATTGTTATACAGAAACTTAGAGGCTCTAAGAGGCGTTTCACGTCTAAATGAGTGAAGCAGAGAAAAACAAAATATTTCCTTACATTTTAAGTTTTGTGTTTAAGCCATAAAAAAAATCAAATGTAAAGTCATGAAAAGCCTCTGTCTGGAACAGGTTATAGCGGGTGGGAAAGATCCAGAAGGGAATGGGGCCAGCGCCATCCCTCAGGCACCAACAGAGCTCTTAGTTGGACTTACTTTGCACCTATTCTAATAGATATATAATTTAAGTTGATAGCTGATGCTAAATTTACAGCAGTAGTCTAAGCGTAATTTTTAAGTACGCGATTCTGTTCAGCACTGCCCCCTGGCTCATTCAGATACACAGTTGAGAACTGTTTCAACCAGGCCACAATCACATTGTCTTAGAATCCAGCAGCTCCACTGGGAATCTTAACAGGCTGCAGATTTGTCCAACAATCTCAGCCCTTTTTTATTTGAATAATTAGACAAAAAATTTAGGTAGCATATTTAAAAATAATTATAAACAAAGAAGGCACTGGGCAGAGAGGTAGTAGGAAGATGAAGAAGTCATATCACTTAGTATTTTAACAAGGAATTTTTTAGTCATTCATACCAGGTTGTCCCACAGGACCGATGAACCATATAGACAAAAATTCCAGGCCACATGTTTTCAAAAGGACCGATGTCAAAGTGGAATCTGAAATTTAACAAGGGCAGTTTATCACTAAATGTAACTACATAAATATAACTAAAGAAAATCATTAAATTTTTTGCCATCAAGAAACTAAAAAGACACTGAGGACTAAGCCGCCACTTCTCCTGCCTTCTCAGTCATGACTCTCTTGAATTGAATAATTTTTAGGAAGAAATCCCACACATTCCCTCAGGAATTTGGTCTAATAATTGAATCACTGATTAATTTTCTATGAAACAACCTCTAAAAACAGGATGCTGCATTTTTTATTAGAACAATAGTAAAGTATAAAAAGATACACTATACGGACATCATACAACTTACAGATAAGGGGAAGTCCTGATCACAAGTATTTTTTAAGAGTTGAAATCATTCTATCACCTATTTAGACTGAGATAAAAATTTCATTGATATACATCCCAAAAGTTATGACCTATTTTTATGTGTTAATTTAGTTATTAACATTCAAACAGAATAAACACTGTGGTAAAGTATATACTATACTTTTAACTGTGAGTCAAATATCAGCTCTGGGTCACTTGTAAAGATTTCCTATGTAGTTAAATGGTATTGGCTTACAATTAAAATCGGCCTACAAATTACCACAGATCCTCACTGGCACTTAAATATATTGATAGGGGATTAGAAAACAAAGTATGAAAGTTGAACTAATTATTACTAAATTCTTGAATTTAATTTGGAAATTAAAATTTGTATGAAAATGGAAACCTTTAGATAAATGTCATTTTGAATATTAAATATTACATGGTATAATCGCAACAGACTAATTAGAAATGCTAGCATTAATGTGAACTCATTTCAAAATTAAGGTCAGAGTTTGTTTTTTAAGGTAATGAGATGGGGCCTTTATTTCCAAGTTCTATGCTAAGATTTGGAATCACTTCAGAAGGAGAAAACGGCAATTATGTATTTACTTTGTGCACAAGAATTGTGACCCTAATTCTATAGCCAGGTTCCCTTTAGGTTCAGTTCAATTAAAAATCTGTTCCTGAAGCAAGTGGCGGAGCCGCCCACTCACAGCTCAATCTCCTTGCAGAGGCGCAGGGGGAGGGTGAAGTGCATGAGGCCTTGCCACTCCTCGGCGGTGCAGATGCTGTGATAGGACAGCTTTTCCATGGTTACCCGGTAAATGCACTCGGAGTGACGGATCCTGTGATACATCTGGGAAGCAAATCCAAAAACAGGAACAATATTTTAAAAAGTACATAGCAGTTTTGTCACTAAAGCTCAGAATCTGTTATTAAAGAAACAGAACTATCATTGAAACGAAGGCAGATCTGTTCGTCCCCAAGTTTACATACGCACCACCAATACGTATGTGTGCATTTTGAAGATACCAGACAGTTTATGAAAAAAAAAATGATATCTCTGCTGAAAAGGCTTATCTAATTCCATAACAAATGTTTGTTTGTTTTTGCCAGATGTTATTTCTGGCTGCTGAGATTACTTAATATTTGGCTTCTTTACTGTTTTATATTTCCAAATTATTGATAATGAAAATGCTGTAAGAAAATGTTCATTTCATTTTCAGAAAATGAATGAATGTTCACTATTTTTAAAGGCTATAAGGCCAAAGTTACTTCTAAACCTCTTAAAACAAAATTACTAATAATTACACTTCACGTGCACATAAAACTCAACTTCTTTCAAAAGATTTCGTCATCATCATTATTTCGTCACCACTGTTTAGTTTAAAATTAGCTGTATATTTTCTCTGTTCTTAAAAGGATTAAATTTGGGATTTTATTAGTGTTACAGAAATGAATTTAAATGTACAACAGAAGTTTGTGTTCCTCAACCATATTGTCTAAGCCTGTTGCTTGATTATTTTATCCTCAACTTTAACTTCATTTTTCTTTTCAACAAATTCACACCTTGAAATAAATGCAAAATATAAGATGTTTTTTCCTTCCAAGGCATTTTAAGATATTCCTAAAATAGGAATGTACAACCAGAAACCACTGTTCTTGCTCTGTAAACAAAACATAAATGGGGAAAAAAAGCTACTTTATCTAAAAGGTTTTTAATTAATATTTAGTAGTAAAAAGGTATTTAAAAAATAGTATTTACATTAGCACAGTGTAAGGCTAAAGCACAGAAGACAGCAAACATTTTGAAGTTGTTCTCGTCAGTTTTGGAGAAGGCGCTGCCACTGATCTTGTTCACCATCTGCACCACGCCGATCACGCTGCCGCGGCTCACGATGGGCATGCACAGGATGTTGCGGGTGGTGTAGCCCGTGTACAAGTCCACTTCCCTGGGGGAACACGGAGATCCGCACAGTCAAGGGAAAAGCAGGCGGAAAGAAATAAACGACACATTCAGTCCAAAGGCTTAGCTCAGCTGTGCAATTCGATATTCTTCTGTAGCTGGAAAGGCACTGCTGGCTTCTGCATTCAGGCACAAGGTTAACAGGAAGGTGTTTTATTAAAACCTTTTCAAAAATATTCTAACCAATTTCTTCTTTGTTTATAAGAGTTTCCCAGATAGTCCCTAGAGCAGCGGTTCTCAACCTGTGGGTCACAACCCACAGAAACTGTATTAAAGTTCGCAGCATTAGGAAGGTTGAGAACCACTGCCCTCGAGCCTTTAGGCTTATCAGCTGATTTAAGTACTTTGCATTAATAAGTAAACAATGTATATTCAGTAGTGAAATATATTTGGCAAAATGACATGTTCCTTTGAAATTGGTCATATTCATGAGAGATGTGATGTGCTAAGCCAGTTTATATGGGAGTTACCACTTCAAAAACTCAGAGCAGGGTTCTGCCAAACCACCCAGCTCCTGTTTCATAAATAAAATTTTGTTTTATTAATTTATTTATTTACAGCATCTCACTCTGTCATCTGGTCAGAGGGCAACGGTGTCACCATAATTCACAGCAACCTCCAACTCCTGGGCACAATCTATCCTCCTGCCTCATCCTGCCAGGTAACTGGGACTCTAGGTGCCCACCACAATGCCCAGCTAAGTTTCCTATTTTTGGTACAGATGGGGGTCTCAGTCTTGCTCAGGCTGGTCTGAAACTTCCGAACTCAAGCCATCTTCCTCCCAGAGTGCTAGGATTACAGGCTGAGCCATCACACCTGGCCATCAATAAGGTTTAATGGAGCGGGCACATCACCCACTGGCTGCTCGTCTAAGGCTGCCGTCTCCCTCCATGGCAAAGATGAGCCGTATGGTCTGTAAAGCCAAAATACTTGCTGTCTGGTTCTTAATAGAAAAGGTTTACTGACTCCAAATTTGAGGAAGTGCCTTTGAAAATACACCTGAGTTCCCCAGAAATGGCAACGTAAATGATGGCGGTTAGTTACGTGGCAGATGTCAGAGCCAGCTCCTCTCACTTAGCACTCACCAGAATGCTCTGACATTCAGCCATGTTGTCGATGGAATGATGGTTAAGTCCTTTTCATTGCTAATTAGTATCACTATTAAATGGGTGTATCATATTTTGTTTATTCATTCACCAGTTAATGGACAATATTATTTGTTGATAGCCAGTAGATGGCAATTATGAATCATGCTGCTTTAAAGATTTATATACAAGACTTTATATGACCATATGCTTCATCTGTCTTGAACTAATAGCTAGAAGTTGATCTGATTAATGGGGCATATAGTAAGTATATATTTAACTTTTCAATAAACGGCAAACTGTTTTCCCAAGTGGTTGCAGCATTACAACATTCCCACCAACAAAGCAGGAGAGCACTGGTGTCCCACATCCTTCCTGCCAATGCTTGTTAGTCTTTTAAAACTATAATAAGGTGACCAGATTTCAACATTGGTAAAGCGGGACACCATTGGGGGGGGGGGGCCTGACAACAATGCAAACTTTGTTAAGCAGTTCTTGAAAATCACTTCTCAACAATTATTTATTATTATTACCGTTTAACATTATAAAATTAACAAAAATAATATAAAACTCATATCCTGGTGAAATAGCCACATGGCAGCTGAAAACCATATATTCCCTTCCTGTTCTCCCGCCCATTCATGCATTCTTTCCAAAAATCGGGACTTTTTAAAAACGCCGCAGGTCGCAGGACAAATTGTTTTTGTTTTTGTTTTTTTTTTGCCGTTTTTGGCCAGGGCTGGGTTTGAACCCACCACCTCTGGCATATGGGGCCAGCGCCCTAGTCCTTTGAGCCACAGGCGCCACCCAGGACAAATTGTTAAAAATCAGGACTGTCCCACCAAAAGCGGACATCTGGTCACCCAAAACTATAACTATGGTGTATAGGGAGGCCTCACTGTCACTGCAATTGACATTCCCCTTGCACTGAACACCTTTTCTTGCGTTTAATGGTCAAATGGTCATTTGCGTATTTTTGGTGAAATGTCTGTTAAAATCTTGTGCCCTTTTTATTAAATGGGGTTATCCTATTATGTTGGAAGAGCATTTCATAAATTCTAGTAGATATATGTAGTTTGTTGGATACCTGATTTGGAATTATTTTCTCCCAATTTGTTGCTTGCCCCTTTATTTTCTTAATGCTCTAACCCATAAATTGAAAGATTTTTATTTAAGGATATATAATTTTTTTTTTACATTTAGGCACTGAAATGAGAAGGTTTTTTTTTGGAACAACAATACTTTCAGACACTCCTAAGTTATTAATAAAACACATTACTAGTATACAGCTATGTTTTTATGTGAGGGTATACATTTGATATTAATTGATCAAATACATGAAAAAACTTCCTATTGCTCATGGTGCTTGCCTCTTAACTGAACACCGCTGTGAATACAGCTCAACTATTACTCCCCAGCACTCACAACATCCATCTTGAGACTCAATCTTAAGAATTTCTAGAGATTTATTAAAACCTAATTATATAATTTGGTTTAAATCTTCCCAAGCCATCCTAATATTTGACTTCAATAATATCTAATAAAAGCTACAAATTATTTAGGTCTTAAAATGTGTCATGTGAAATTCTCAGACTTTTATGAATATTACCTATAACTTTTTTTAAAAAGACAAAACAGGCATTATCAAACATATTTTCAAGATGGGGAAACTGGGGCTTAGAGAGATTAAGTAATTTTCCCTGGGTCAGGCAAGAGCTACTAAAGAGTTCCCAACTGCCACTGGGAACTCCCCCTGTCAGTCCACAACATGAAGCTTTGTGACCACGCGCCGTAGCCCCTGGAGCACACGATTCGATAGGAGAACGTGCTCACGGCAAATCATGACCCTGGGAGGAAACAAAACCTCACAACTGCTCCATAAATTAAAACTCCTATTATTTTTATAACATTTCAACTCCTAATGCTCAATATTATATTAATGGATTGGGATTCATCATTTTATAAATACCTGGACACACTGACGACTGGTAATAGAGTTAGGGGGTCAAAGGAGAAAACTAAGCAGTTAAGAACCACCTGAGGTGGGATCAGAGCAGCAGCCTCCATGCAGGAGAGACGGACGAGGGCGTGAGCCTCCCTACCTGTTGAAGCGCGGGTCTGCATAGGCATCCGGAATGTTCAGGACTTCTCCTGTTCTTGCCACTTGACCAGCGATTCCTTTCTCAATTGAAAATCTGCACATAGGAAAGAGAGGGACATGCGAATTAAAGATAGGAGCTGTAAAGTAACTGTGAAACATTTCATTATCACCAAATATTGAATTAAAACACATTGCTTTATTTTAAAGGTATGTATCACTTTTACATTTACATATTCCAAATCATCTATAAAATACGTAAAAGTGAAGCAGAAAGCATTACATAGTAACCACTGGAGAGCAGCTTTCAGAATATAATAAACTAGGAGATTAAAAACTAACTAGTATTCTCCCATACTGACCAATAACAACTCTACTTCATCATACATTTTATTAGTGGATCCTCAAAAAGGTGTGAACTGAGGCTGTGTGGGTTCAGTAAGACATCAGCATCTAAAATACTAGTGGCACAATTAAAACCAGAACACAGGACGGTACCACTGTGCTTTCTATCTCATATACAACCACAGGTTACATCTGAACCTCAAGATACTACACAGGACTGTGTGCTCTATAGAAATAACACAATGTAAGACTTCTAGTATTTTTACATCTCTAATTTATTAAATTTAAAACAATCAAATATAAGAAGTTTTTTTTGATATTTAACATAGTATTTTTCTTTGGTAAATATAGTCTCATTTATAAATATTTTCATCATTACCATATTATCATACATGCAATCATTTCAAAATTTATTTGAGAAAGATGTCTATAATTTAAGAGTTAAAAATAAATTTTATAATACTACATTTTTTTAACATTATAGGAAATCATAAATGAAATGAACCTCACCCTAAGGATTATCAAAAAAGAAATCAGAAGAGAATTGTCACAAGAGTACTTAAAATGCCACAAAATGAACCAAACACTGTATGAAACTCAGAGTCATTGTCCCCTGGTTTTCCTGTGCTCTGAGGAACTTTAACCCAACAAATCAGACTGCCATGAACAAGAATATCAGAATCCACTTCATAATTTTAGCTTATTCTGAGAATAGTCTAAACTGTAGCCTATTCAAACTCACTCTGGTTTGTTGTCTACGGTCGGTGGAAGTTCATAATTAAGAAGGATGCCCTCATAAAAATGGCTGGTCTCAGCCCTCAGCTACAAGCTACAAACCACATTATCCTGTTTCCCTAAGGTTGCAATCATAGGGTTTAAGTTAATATTTTCAAAATCAAGTCAATACCGGAAGTGTCAGGGAGAGAAATGACTTATCTAAGTGACTATATGCACTTAACAAATGATACAACACATTAAAAAGAAAACCCGAACATCAGCATGAAATCATCTGAATGTGGAATAGGGTCCACCAAACCCTAGAAGCAGAGAACGGGGAGTGTTGAGGGGCAGACGGTGCTGAGGCCCATGATGGACCACAATGTGAGTTTCTTAGACATCAGTTTCATCTCACGACAGATCAAAAGCAATCTTTAATTAATAAGGCACGGTGTTTTACTAGAATGCTGAAATTACCAGAGAACTTTATGGAATCATGCAGAAAACTAGTTAAGACATATAAAGCAAAAGAAATGCAAATGTCTAAAAATAATTCAACTTTGGGGTGTTAAGCTTGATTCCTAAAGTTTTGTGACAGTGCTCCTTGGAGATTTCCAGACTACCGTATGGGTAAGCCCCCATGCCTCCATCAGCAAAAGAAACTCCATTCTGTTAACTTAAGTGACAATAGCTGCCACTTAAAGAACAAGTAATGTTTTAGTTTCAAGATACAACAAAGGCATGCTGTATGGCTGACTAAACCAACTGGTCAGTCACAGAGTGTGTTTGAGTCATCAGGGGTACCAGATCAATTTCCACGGTTTGGACTGAGAGACAGACCCATAGGCTGGGAAGAGGAAAGGGCCAAATTGCTCCTAGATGTGGGGAAACCTACAGACTCCTTTACCTACCTGGGAGCACTAGTAAGTTTTTCCAACATGATTTCCAAAAGGACCGCCTCCGGAAGACGGCATTTCCAGGAGTGACGCTAAAGCTTCCTAGGCGCGGTTTCGCTGGCACTGCAATGTCATTCCCAGAAGTACTACCTTCAGGAGGCGGGTCCTGGTGGGAATGATACCACAGTATGACAAGTATTGTCAGCATACCTGTGAATAGGCACAGAGACATGGGTAACAGGACACCTGCACTGCCGCAATCAGAGCAGAGGACATTCTAGAACACCTGTACCTTATCTCTTTGGTCTTCTTGAAGACAGGTTTCCCTTCCTTTTCCTCTCCAATATCAAAAAGGTCTGAATATAACTCCTTGTTCTTGTGGTCTACCTGGAAAAGTGCACAACGATCGGCATTCACCAGGTTTTTTGCATATATCTGAAGACAAATGACAAAACAAGAGTAAGCCAAGGAAAAACTCAAGACTTTTTAAGTAAACATCAGAAATAAATATTAATTTCAGCTCTTTTCACTCTAATCAGCAGGAACTTGCATTATAAGTAAATAAATACGTAAGGATAAAATATTAAAAAAATATGAAAGTCACTGTTACACACTAGTTCTAATAGAGACCAACAAGAATCCATGCTGTTGTGCTGGGTGATGAAATACTAAAATTCTTCCATGTTGGTTGGTCAGCAGCTGCTGGCCTAGGTTCACAAGAATGCTTCTGCCTTCCAACCTCCCTTCCAGAACTAATCAGCCCTCTCCTAGTCCCCCGATCTGAACCTCTAAGGTCAGCATTCATTATGATTGGGAGGTGTCTGTGAAACTATAGTTGTAAAAACAAAAAGAAAAACAAAAACAAAAAATCCACAGTTTTCATATTTACATTAGGTGAATTTCATTATTTGTACCACCTAACAATATTTCATAATTATTGGTTTACTATGTGCTAGATATATTTATACATCTTATGTGCATTGATTTACTTAGTCCTCACAGTAACAATATTAATTTAGGGAAAATTTTATCCCATTTTACATGTTGGGGAAATTGAGGTGCTAAAAGGTAACTTGTCCCACTTTTACATTTCTAGTAAATGGTGAATCTAGTATTTGAACTTGCACTGGCTCTTTCCGTGGCCGGCGCTTTAATAACAAATATGCTGGGTGGCACCTGTGGCTCAGTGAGTAGGGTGCCAGCCCCATATACCAAGGGTGGCGGGTTTGAACCCGGCCCCAGCCAAACTGCAACAAAAAAATAGCCAGGCGTGGTGTTGGGTGCCTGTAGTCCCAGCTACTCGGGAGGCTGAGGCAAGAGAATCACCTAAGCCCAAGAGCTGGAGGTTGCTGTGAGCTGTGATGCCAAGGCACTCTACTGAGGGTGATAAAGTGAGACTCTGTCTCTAAAAAAAATAAACAAATAAATACTTAACAAATATGCTTTTCCATTTCTGAGTGGGAACCATGCATTCATGTCATCATACATCTACTCATCCCTTTCCTTCAAAACATATTTCAATGCATAACATATCCCACTGTTCCTAGCAGGCTGGGGTAGAGTTGTATCATAAATACTGTTATTTCACTATATTCTGAGTTCTGGCAAATTCAATCATCCAGATCATAGTTGTGAAATTATTTCTCAGAGAAAAACAGCAATCATATTACTTATTCAAGAGAAACTTTTAGCCAGTGGAAAATACACAATTTCATGTAGAACTAACTTACAGATTGAAAGAAAGACTTCTGAGTGCCCCAGGTGCCACTCTGCCTCCCCCTGCCAGGTGCCTGCATGCCCCCCCCCCCCCATTCAGGGTCAAGTGCTGGGAGAGTTGCGAATGTCCTGTCCTCCAGGTTTTCTCACTTCCACTAGCTTGTGAGTTCTAGGACAGCAAACCCTACTCCCCTTTCCCCCCACAGTATTCCAAATGCCCAGATCAAGGCTTAGAGTAGGGGTTGGCTGAACACTTGTTTCTGTAAACACAATTGTACTAGAAAGTGACCACGTCCATCCCAAGTGTCTGCATCGTTATGGCTGCTGGGTGACTGAGTAGTTGCAAGGAAGGGCAGCCTATGAAGCACAAACGCTACTCTCCAGATGTCACAAACAAAAAAGTTTGCCTACTTATAGTTTTGAAAATATAAGATTTTCATAACCTAAAATCTTCAGGAAATATCTGAGGACGAAAGAGTGGTGCAGAGATAGAGGAAAGCGATGGGAGGGACTGTGGGCACGTGCACGGGACCACGTGTTACAAACTCAGCAGAGTCTGAACCAGCACCAGGAATGACCCTGCAACACTGAGGATTAAATTCTAGTCGATAAAATCTGCACCTGCAGTTTCTAGGGTCATGTTAGTTGCTTAATAAATATTTTGGGGCGATGCCTGTGGTTCAGTGAGTAGGGTGCCAGCCCCATATACCGAGGGTGGCGGGTTCAAACCCGGCCCCGGCCGAACTGCAACCAAAAAATAGCTGGGCATTGGGGCAGGCCCTCCTTTCTTGGGAGGCTGAGGCAAGAGAATCGCTTAAGCCCAAGCTGGAAGTTGCTGTGAGCTGTGATGCCATGGCACTTTACAAAGGGCAATAAAGTGAGACTCCATCTCTACAAAAAAATAAATAATAAATAAATAAATATTTTGGCATAAATATGTTAACAATAGCTATAAATCTGGATGAAATGAACAGTTTTCTAGAAATATAAATGAGTTTAGAAATGGCTGAAAATACACATCAAACCAGAATCATAAAGATAATTCAAAAACTGTCAAAAAAGTATTTTCATAAAAGGCAGCAGGCCCAAATGGTTTCAAATATGAAGTCTTTAAAAATCTCCAACAAATAAATTCCTACATGAATTAGGCTATTTTAAATTTGGAAAAGAATAACTTTTCAGTTTCTTTAACAATCACTACTGTGTCACTTACAGGGTAAACTGACAAAGACACTCTGAAAAAGAAAAACACGCCAATTCACCTTAAAAACAGAAGAAAAATTATAAACAAAAATATTACCAAATCCAAATTCAGCAATAAGTAAACAAATGCTCTGATACTCAAACACACTTCAGTCAGAGCTGCTCAGCGTCAGGTCTGTGACTGTAACTCCCGACAGCCACGAGACAAAAGAGAGATCTGCACGACCACCTTCATCGCTGTCAGAAGTGCAGCATCATTCCTGATAAAAACTTTACTATAATGAACAGAATACACGTACCACACAAAGCCTAATAATATTTTCTCCAAAATATATCATGCCAAATAAACTATCAGAATCATTCCACTAACACTAAGACATTAAAGTTACAAAAACAAGACAATTGTAAGAATCAAAATTATCAATTTTGATAATTATGTTATCAAAGTTATGAGCATGCAGCTTGACGAGAGGCGGATGTGTGATGTTGACGTATTTCAGGAGATAAATTTTTATTGTCTGAGGATAATGTTATTGCATATATTGAAAAATCAAGAGAATCAACTGGAAAACAATTACAGGTGTAAGAAAAGCTTCTGTTTTAAGATGAATTAACTCTAAATATCTTTTCACTCTCCCCAAATATTAAGCTTTCACTTTGAAACAACCTTCGGATACAGAAAAGGAGTTAAAAAAATACCTACAAATATCTTAGTGACTCTTAAGGACTCCTCTCGGAAGGTGCTGCTAACCACCACCCACACCTACACACACACACACAAGAGCCCGTGTGCACACACACGTGTCTGTTCATACGTGGAAAACAACTCTTTATATCAGGAGTGGGTTTAAAATTCAGAGAAAATATGTCTTCAAATTTATGAGGAAAACTTATTTTAAACTTGAATTTCCTTACCACGTCAAACTAGTATTCAAGCACAAAGGCAACCCAGAGATATTTGAGAACAGCACAGTGCAACCTTCCCACTATTTTAGAAAGGAAGATAGGCTCAGGCAAAAATAAATAAGAAATTCAGAGAGCACGGCTAGACTTGGGGTCCAATAAAGAGAGGAACAAAGAAATAGCTGTTAATTTTAAAAAGACCTAAAACATTATCTTTTCAGAACCATTTAAGGGTAGCAGATGTGAAAGGTAAAAAGAAACAAATGTTTTATTTTATCTTGCTGGTGAAGTGAGTGATATGATGGAGGCACTGATTACTGATTTTATAGAGAAGTTCACTTCAAATACAGGGCACAGGATTGCAGCTGGGAGGGCTGTTGCTGTGGTTACTGAGGAGCAATGGCCGGTGCCTAAGGACCACCCAGGACAGGCTGAGTCGGGGAGATGGAGAGGCCCCTGGCTCAGCCCTCCAGGGCCCCGACACAGGTGCACGCTGCCCTCCTCTCTCCCCAGAGAGCACCATCCCTGTTTGCCTGTGTAACTTCCACACATACATCCCTCAGACCTGGGTGAAAGCATCAGGAAAAGCTGCCCCAGCGTTCCTGACCAGGTCAGATCTCCTCTTCAGAGCCTTCAAAGCACTGTGGTCTGGGATTCAGCATCATGCCGGTATCTGATTCACCTCTGTCTCCTGCACTCGACTATAAGCTCCATGAGGACAGAAACAGTGAAGGGTTTGGTTTATTATTTTACAACTCTGGCTGCTATCTACTATGGAAATAAAAAAGATTTTCAAGAAATATTATAGCAGAAAAGGATGAATGAAAACCTGAAGGAACTAATAGCATATTAGAGATTGGGAAGAGAATCACAGATCCGTTCCCTAAGGAGGCCCAAGTGATCTCATAGTTGATTTACATCAAACAGAAAGGAACAGATAACTCATATGTTATTCAAACCATTTTAGTCCAAGAATGGAACATTTCTTAACTCATTTTAGAATATAACATAACCCAATACTGATACTATCCAAGGATAGAAAAGTGTAACTTAGGAGAAAATGCACTTATGAAAACAGATGCAGAATCCAAAGGTAAAGAAAACATTAGACTTAAATAACCTTTATACCGGGAATTTAAGGACAGCTCAACACTGAGTAATACATTAATATAATTTCCTATTCCAATTAATTAAAGGAGAAAAAAAGCTAAATCATCTTCAGAATGGCTTATAAAGATGTGGTAAGACTCAACACCCAACTAGACGCAAGCTCATAAAAATGAAGAACAGAAGGAAAACTTTTTAAATTAGTAAGCTGTATCTGCTAGGAACTGTATAAACAGCAAGGAAATGGGAGGAGGATACACATTAAGGAAAGCACGTAGCAGCGTTTCCACTTTGGGATAGATTGCTTCCATTCAACAGTGTCCCAGGGTCCCGGGCGACACATTAAAAAACAAAAAGAAATCAGTTCTCTGAAAACTGGAAAGGAAGAACCCCTGCTATGTTAGACTCTTCTCCCCACAATCAAGACCAGCATGAAAATGTCCACACTTGCCATCTCTTTTCAGTATTGTACTATGGTTCTAGTTTGGGCAATTATGCACCAAAAAAAAAGAGGAAAAAAGAAAGAAAACCCATCCTGATTAGAAAACAGGGAGTGAAACCACCTCCACTTGGAGACGACATGACACTGTACCAGAAAAGCTTGAAGACACACCAGAGAAAGGCTGGAACTAGCCAACAAGTTCATCAAGTTGCAAGATACACTGTCTATATAACAAAATCCAATTTATTTCACTACATCTATAATAAAAATCTGAAGATAAAATTAAGAAAACATTCCATTTTAATAGCATTAAAAAATAAAATACCTGGGGATAAATTTGCCAAAATAAGACCAATATTTATTCTCCGACAATCACAAAACCTTACTGAAAAAAATTGAGATATAAATAAGTGGGAAAAAACCCCACATTTATACATTGTTAAGATAAAACACTCCAAATTGCTCTTCAGTTTCAACACAATCCCTAGCAGAATCCCTCCCTCTCTCACTTCTTATGGAAACTGACAAGCTGATTTTAAATTTATACATAATTGTGAGCAACACAGAATAGCCAATCTAGAAAAAGAATGAAGTTGGAGGACTCACTCTTCTTAATTTCAAAACATAGCACAGTAAAACAACAACAGTAATCACTGAAGTGTGTACTGCCTGGATGGCAGAATAAAGAGTCCACAGAGCAGAACCGAAAGCCCAGAATTCAACCACGTTTGTGCTCACTAATGTTTCACAAGACCATTCGAAGGGAAAGAATCGTCATTTCAACAAATGGTGCTGGGAAAAACGTGATGGCTACATGGAAAAGAATGACGGCCACGTGGACCCATAGCTCACATGATGTACAAAATTAACTGAAGCCAAATCAAATACCTTAAAAGTAAAGCAGCTAAAACCATAAAACTCTTAGGAGAAGGCCCAGGTAAATTCTTGTATCTCTGATTTGGCAAAGGATCCTTAGATATGACGCCGAAAACACGAGCAGCAAAAGACAAAGATATATGGATTAATTTCATCAAAATTAAAACTTTGTTATTCAAAAACACTATCAAGAAAGTAAAAAGACAACTTGCGTAAGTAGGATAAAACATTAGCAAGTCATTGAAGAGAGAAGAGGGTCTATTTTTAATGTATGACAAACTCTCATAAGCCAATTATAAAAAAAGAATTCAAGAAAAACATGGATCTGAAGACAACTGTGCTCAGAATATACCCATTTCAGAAAGCACAGGAAAGGGTGCTCAGCCTCAGCAGTCATGAGGACATGGCAATCAAAACCACGCGGAGACGGCGCTGTGCCCCCTGGGACGGTACGGTCAGATTATAGGAAGTGTGGGTGAAGATGCAGGAAGATCAGAGCCCTGGTGCAACGCTGTTGAAAATGAAAATGGTACAGCTGCCATAGAAACACTGTGACAGTTCCTCAAAAAGTTCAATATAAAGTTACCACATTACCCAGCAATTCTACTCCTAAGTATATACCCCAAAAGAATGAAAAACAGCATTCAAATGAAAAAGCTGTATAGAAATGTTCACAGCAGCACGATTCACAAGAGCAAAAACAGGCAAATAACCCAAATGTCTGTCACTGTTGAATAGATACAGACAAATGGGGTCTATATGGCATATTATTTGGTCACCAAAGGAGTCAAATGCCGATGCCATGCGACAGGATGGAAGAACTTTGAACACATTACGCTAAGTGAGAGAAGCAGGTATAGCAACAGGCCTCGGTCACACGGCTCCTTCTCCATTAACCTGGGACCCTCAGGGGAAGACAGCAGTGGCTGCAAAGTGGTGGGGCACCAGGGGCACAGCAGGTAACAAGCACGGGCATGATGGCTAACATGGGCTGGGGATTCTCTGTAAGGTCACTAAAATGTTCTTCTAGACTTGACTGTGATGGCTGCCTTTATCTATGAATGTACTAAAAATCATTAAATTGACCACTTTATATGGTGAATTATATAGCATATAAATTACATCCAAACAAAGCTGTTTTTAAAAATATAATAATAATACAAACACTAATCAATAGTGCTTCTTGTATTCCTCTAACACAAGCTCAATGTCAGTCTACATTGTATTTTTATATTCTTCTAAAACTATTCATTGATTTAAAATTGTCTTAAATTTTTCATAACCAGAGGAAAGTTATTTTTAACGTATTATCATTCCATTATTTTGTCCAGAAAGACCATCACTGAAGTGAATAACCCCTAATGTTATTCTCTAATTACCCATAGTAAACCTTGTCTCTACAAGACACTGCACATAACACACTCCACGCTTGTTGGTTATGATGACAAGGAAAAAAACTGATCAGTATGCATCAGAAAACCTGTAAATGAGCAAACTCCTTCCAGGGGCCTCAAACTTTTTAAACAGGGGGCCAGTTCCCTGTCCCTCAGACCATGGGAGGGCTGGACTGCGGGCCCCAGGACGAGTCAGCTGCTAAGCAGGACAGGCAGTAGTGGCAAAAACACCTGGCAGGCCAGATAAATGTCTAGGCAGGCCGTATGTGGCCCGCGGCCATAGTTTGAGGACACCTGCCTTAAGTGGAAGATCATTGCACTTGGACATGGACCAGTGAAATGAGGAGGAGGAAGGACATTGCAAAGCACAGCATAGGACACAGATGGGCCCAGGAAAGGCTGGGCATCCAGAGTCACACCACACGTCACTTGGATAGGAGACACAACACAGCAGCCTGGGGACTGTGACTCTAACTCTACTCTGTGGGCCGTCCAGCTCCCAGGGCCTGCCAGCCACTGAGAAGAGAGGAATCATGAAGACTCTATAAAACTAAGTAGAATGAACCTGAAGATCAAGAAGAATCAGCTGAGAATTCCTAATACAGCCTACATGTAAATGGTGTTGTGAAGAATACAAAAAGAAACCAAATGTCTTTTCAGGGATAGCTGTCCATTAATGAAGGAAAAACTCTGAGGTAGTTTTTAAAAGATTATTCAAATCTTTCCCCCTCAAATTAACAGAAATGACAAACCAATCCAGGTGAATTCTTAACCACCAAATTTTTGTAATACTTAAAAGATCTTGTATGATTAATAAAATGTTTTACCATATATTTGGACCATGGGTCTAAGAGTTAATAAAATCATTTTCAGAAAGAAGTGTAACTTACCATTATGTGTTCAAGTAGAGAATCTATTGCGACTATGTTATCAAAATATGTTCTGAAAAAAAAGAACATTAAGTCCTGTAAGTGATCTTACACCACAGTACATAAGAAACTTTGACTACATTTCCTGGTTTCGTCTGCATTTAAATTAAAAACAAAGATATGTATCACTTGATTTTCGTCCTTTTGTGAAAACAGTCAATACTGTAATATCATTTTAAATGGACAAATGAAACTGCATCGTTGACCTTACTGTAAGGATTCTAATTCTAGTACTTATTTTATTGTTAAACTGATGGAGACCGAAAATTTGTTACATTTAACTAAAACTGTACAGGAACAAAATTGGGTTCACTATATTTAATATTTTCATCAATGACTTGGATCTGAATAAAAATATTTAAATTTGCTAAATCTCAGCAATATGATTAAAAAGTCAAATTATCACTGAAAAATTCAAGAAAGTTAATATTAAGTTTAAATGTGCTATGAAATTAATGTAATCTGAGAAGAACTGTCAGAATATAAGCAAGGATTAGTCTGCATTCACTATCATGAATGGCCAGTACATGATCTAGATTATACGGCACACAGATTAAAATGTAACTCCAGAAAAAAGACAACCGATAGGCGGGCAATAAAAAGAAAGTGCAAAGAGGCAGAGAACTGAGCGTGCGCTCTCCCCTCGCAACAATGCTGCGCCTTAGCTGGTTCGGTAACCAAGAGAGAGCTCCTTCAGTCCCAACTTCTCTAATTTCATATTTGCATTTATAGTAAAATAAATGTAACATGAACTGGAAGTTTTCAACCGGTTATTAATGGGTAAATTATTAAGTACTGCCACAGTGACGCGTCAGGGACGACACACGTCACAGTCACTGCTGGAGGCCAGTGCAGAAGAGGCATGTTATTCCTTCAGTAAATTCAGGAGGATGTGACTGTAAAGTTACAATCCTGGGGCATTTTCTAGATTCTGATGATAAATTATATGGGTGAGATATACAGAAGACCTCCCCCATAGGAAGCAAAACCAAAGTGAACCTGCAATTTAACAAAGATGTATAATTGCTTCCACTGCCAGCCCAAGGGAGTTTTTCTAGATCAAACTTCAGAGAAATGGAACATTTTCTCAAAAATTACAACTGAGATGCTCTACACAGGAAACTTAATATAACATTAATAATATTGTTTAATTTACTGACATTGTTAGAAAAAGCCAAAGAGGGCTTTCTAGAAAAATACTAGAACACTTTCTCTCGCCCTATTGCCACCAGTATTCTTCTGCAAAACTAGAGATAATCTATGGCTTTGACATTTTCTAAGACAGCCATTTAGAAAATACGCATTACATTCAAAATCCAGATCATCACACACACATCTGCAGTCTTCACTCGTAGAGTTAACGTGGATGAGGATATAACTCCATATCAAAAGTAGGATCAACCATTCTCCCCAGACCACTTGTATATTAAAGATCAACCTTCAGTTACTGGGTGCAGTTGGCAATAGTATGTCACGGTAACAGCCTGCAATTAATTTAAAGCATTGCCAATAAGACCTACTATATTCTTAGAAATGAACACTTACTTTGATACATCCAGCAGAAAGTCATTCAATTCTGTCTGTTTGGCAAGGCCTCTGCATACCTGCCATGTAAAATTATGGCTATCATTATAAGAGATTTCTATTCATTTGACAATAAATACTATTTACTGAAAACAGGCCTAACAAAATCTCTTGGTTTATAATGTAACAAAAGTATCAATAACTATTAATATTTATCAAATACTTAAATGTGCTAACCCTTGTTCCAAACGTTTTATTATCTCATTTAATCACCCCCCCAAAATCCCAGCCATTGGATTTACATTTTATAACTAGGGCATAAAAAAGGTAAGACCCCTGCTGAGGCTCCAGAGCCAGTAAGCAGTGCAGCTACAGCTACGGTCAGACGCCCTCTGCAGGGTCACTTCACGGTTGTCTGTAGCAACTGCAGTTGGGCACGTGTTCCCCCTACTTGAGGATTCAACAAGTCTTGCTGCTTTCCCATTATCCTACAGCTCTGTTTTCTTCCTATCATACACTTCCTCATCAACCTCAGTTTGCTGAAATGGAATTAGAAAAATATTCTAATGAATAGTTAGTGAATATTCCTCTTCTTCTTTTTGAGTGGGGGGCACAGGAGGTGAATTCTAATACACAGTCCTGCACTGGTACCACATTCCAGGGAACTCTAAGTAGGTTGTCATTTTTAATTAGATCATGCCTTCAGGAACCATATATCTTATAGTTAGCATTAACATTTCATATAACACTCACAAGAAAATTTAAGAAATGAAATCATTACAGTATCAATGCAATGCCCAGTAAGAGAATGTTCCTAGGTCTTCAGTTGAAAACAAATATCATTGCATGACGCGTACCATTTAGTGTATAAATTTTATATTCACACGTATATATTTAATTGCAAGACATTTAAGGCAGGAAGTAAATACATGTGATTAATAAAAATTTCTAGGAATAACAAAATATCATCATATCTAAAAATAAAGGGTTATGTTACTTCTGAACCTCTCCTCAAGCCCCCCATGCTGAGCTCTAAGTGTCTCTTCTCTCCTGGGAAGCCCCGGTAAAAACATCCTCAAAACTCACCTGCACCTGATGTATTGCTACTGAAGCCCAGGCAAGATTTGCTGTCGCAACCTAAAATACACACACACACACACACACACACACACGAAACAAATTTTTATTAGTCACATGTAGGTATCCCAACAAAGGACTCTAGCACAAATGTGAGCGTTTTAAGGCTTGGCCAAACAAAAATCAATAAATATTTATAACGTTTCTCTTTTATATTTCCTGTTGCAATTAATTGAGCTTAATTCTCTCTTCATCTTAATTCCAGATGAAAAGGAAGACAAACTAATTATTGAGAGAGGTGTAGCCCAATGATGCAAAGATTTTAACATGAAACAATCATTTTTCAGTTTAACGAAAATAGATTTAAAAAGCCTCGAATGACCACTTTAAAAATGAAATATTTCTAAAAAGGGAAAGTCTCATGTATGTTGACTGGTTTCTCAAATTACCAGTTATTCTACTCATTTTATTCACTCCCTTAACGAATATTCACTGGGCACCTGCTGAGTGTCAGGTGCTGGAGACACCACAGTAGACAACACCGAAAAGCAGGAGAGTCTGGTGTGCAGTGGTGGGGGACGGGAAAGGAAGGATGTTACACGGTGACACGTGTCACAGAAAAAAAGAAGCTGGAAAAGGAAAAGGGAATAAGTACAGAACCTTTCAAATGTTTCAGGAAGGCCTCCCAGAGAAAGCACATTTGAGGAAAATCCTGGGGGAAGCAGCTGGGTGGGGTCAGGGCAAGCACAGCCACAAGGTGGGTGGAGCAGGCCAAGGCCTGAGCAGTAGCCTGCCAGCCTCGCCTGAGGGTCCAGTGTGGCTAGAGGAGGGAGGGAGGCCAGTGGAGTCACAGGACACAGGCTCGTTCAGACAGGTGGATAGGGTTAGGCCACTTCAGGGACTTGGTTCCTACGGGGTGTGATAACTATCATCTTAGTATTTGCTTTTATTATTAATGAGCCAACTCCAATTTAATCAAGAGTGAAGAGAACTCATTGTTTTCCAAATTTATTTGACACTAGAACCTTTTTTGTTTTTTGAGACAGAATCTCACAAAATCACCCTGGGCAGAGTACCATGGTATTATAGCTCACAGCAGCCTCAAACTCCTGGGCTCAAGTGATTCTCTTGCCTCAGCCTCTCAAGTAGCTGGGACCACAGGTGCCCGCAGGGATGCCCAGCTAGTTTTTCTATTTTTAGTAGACAGGGATCTCACTTTGCTCAGGCTCGTCATGCAATTTTAAGCTCAGACAATCCACCCACATTGGCCTCCCAGAATGCCCACCCAACTCCAGAACCTTTTTATAGGACACAATCCAGAAAGATGACATTTTTAAGAAAACATAAAGACAAGCAGAATCTGAAAATTCTCTGAAGTCATACTACCACTTTATTTGATTTAGAGTATCACATACTTTTTATTGTTAAAATGGGTTCTTAAAAAATAAAAAAAAAAAGATTGCATTTCTAATGTCATCCATTTCCCCTCTAAACAAAAACAAAGAAAAAAAGAGGCCTTAAAAACACTGGTAGGTCATGATTTTAAGTATTTGTTGATGTATTCGCTTAGCAACATTAAGGAGCATCTCCGATGAGCTGCACACAGCTCAACACCCCAACAAGCAGTGCCGAGAGCTCACCTCCTGGTGACTGAGGCAGAAGGCGTCTTTGCCCCAGTGCCGATACAGCTCGAGAATGCCAATCAAGTCACCAATGGCAGTGACAATAGGCAAGCAAAGGACAGATTGGATGCGAGTCCCCGATTCTAGTCCAGTTCCTCTTGGAAATCGTTCATCCTAAGAAATAAAAGATGAAAAGATTCAAATTCAGGGAAATCATCTTTAAGTTATGATTCTTCTATCAGAAATTGCCGAAACATTTGTAATCAATAATAAGGAATCCTTTTCAAAGGAAAACCAAATGATGGTACCTACCATTAATCTTATATAAGAAAACACTTTTAGTAACATGGAACTTACGCCCAATACTACTTTAATTTTTAAAATCTTTTTACAGTATAAATTTAGTAAATAAATGATATGTGTCAATCTCATACAGTAATAATAAAAGTAATCATAAATGCTGGCATGTATTCATCAGTTTCAATGTGCCAGAACTGACCTAAGGGTTTCACAAACATAACACTGAAAATTACTCCAACTGTAAACATCATATGAAGAAAATTATACATGTACATTTTTTCTCTTCTATTTTTAAGGTTAGAATAACGCAAAAGTACATTAATAATAGTTATTCTAACTAAATTTCAAAGGCCTTTGGTAAGTATTTAAATCACCTAATAAATATCAATTACTTATTGTAAGAAATGAAGTTGGTTCTTAGTCTTTAATAATGCCATAGTTTACCAAAAATCACTCCAAGTATAGAAAAATAGAATGAATTCATATAAAAACTATCAATTCTATTTATTCCATTTCTATTGTTTCTCAGAAGCTATCCGGTCTGAATTAAAACTTTTCATGAATCAGGAATAGTATAAACCTATGCTTGTAATTTGCAAATCTTTTGAAAGCTTGTATAAATGGTCAAACATTTTCAAATGAGATTATGTATAGAATGTACTTGTATCTTCTGTCTTTCCTACTCTTTCTTTTTCTTTCATATTTTTTTCAATCTGTTCAAGGTCATACAGATAATCAGTGGCCAAATTACACACCAACTAGCTGTTCACCTGTTTGTACTTGTCACTTGTAAAGTCCTTACCCTGTGGTGACATCTCATCAGAGTTCACAGGGATGGCAGAAGACGGACTGAGGGCCCCACTTTGTCTTGATTCTCTGTACCCATGTCCTTTGTGGGTCCCCTTTAATCCAGAGTCTGGACCAGACTCTGGCTATTAGAAGGAGAATAAACTTGATGTAGGCAGAGGCTTGAAAACTCAATTGTCTGTTTCCAACTTCTCTAGGACTCGCACTGCCGTCACGATAGCAGGGCAGGCTGGCCTTACTGAAAGGGAGTGGGAGGCACTGGAGAGCTGAGGCCATGAGAACACAGCCAGCACCTAACTGATGGCCAGCGGACCTTAGTCTCGTGGGTAAGCACAGATGACTGCCGTCCAGACCAGCCCAATCACCCAGTCCTTAGACTCACTCATGGGAGTTAACAGCCGGCTATGGTATGCTATCACTAAAACAGGTCAGCAGTCATACAGCAACAGCTAACCCATTCACATGCCCCCTGGCAGAGGAAGCAAGCAGTAATCATTCGGTTTGCTATGACGAAAGATGCATGATTTTTTGAGTACAAATAATTAACTTACTAATTAATTTATTAATTTGTATCTTACTTTAATGCTTTTACTTTTTATAAAACTGTTTGAATTTTAACATTGACAGGATATGCCATCATTCTTCAGTACTTTAGGTTAAAAATGTCATTAAGAGCTAAAAGCCATTCACCCCAAGGATGTCTTCCACAAGCAGGGTTTTCCTGGACTTGGCCACATAGGCAGAGACAGTGGTGCCCTGGGTGATGGGCCCGGCAGGGATGAGTCGGGGTCTCCCTTCCTTTACTCCAGGTGGTGTGAAGATGCACAAGCTCTAGGAAGAAGAAAAGAATATGCTTCATTCACTTTCCTGTATATTTGCACAGTATCACAAGACACCTGGAGTTTACTGAATGGTCACAATAAAACCAGGAGACCATTGAAAAAAGAGACATCAAACAGGAAAGATGTTGCAGTGATCAAACCGGAACACTAACCGGGAAATTCCCTCTCATATTTCCAAGCACACAAAATACAGTGTTGAATCAAGACTTAAAGGAACATATAAGCACAGAAAAACTCCTAAATTAGCCTTTTATTTTAGTTCATAGAAAACAATAAAATGAGAAAAAAATATATCCTATCCTTGGGTTCACGATTCTAGCATACCATAAATAAATAAAGGACCCAAACTCCCTCTATATTTGATACTTGTTAGCTGAAGATTTGGCTATATTTTTCATCTCTTAGGAATCTTTCTTTCTCTGTTATTCCTCTTTGTAAGACATACATTTGCTCAAACTAGATTGCTCATAAAATTGCAGATTCAGAATATTCTACATGAAAAATTTGCTCTTCTCTGTGCAAAAATATCGACAAATTTAGGTGATCTTTCTCTTTCAAATTATTAGGTGGTAGGGTAAAATTCTGGAACTACTTTAAAATATATCTGCTTTAAAAATTATATCAGTTATTTTAATGAAATCTAAAAATACTTCAAAATTATTTTCTACTAAATAAATTGGTGCCCAAAAAACCATCTATGGATTAGGGGGAATATTGACAAAAATGTACCATGAGTATCTACCAAATTTGAAGAATATTAATGTGCAGGTAAACCCTCTGCACACTTTATTTTTATCTGTGATTAGATGCTGTGACAATGAATGGAGACCCTGAGAAGCATTAGATAACTCTCTTGCCCTATGTTCCTGTTCATACTTTCTATTACGAAGGTAGTTTTAAGCATGACACAGATGTATTTATCAACTTATCAGATAAGTGGGTTTTAGGCCTCATAGTATCAAGGAATGCTTTCTTTAAACATCTTACAATCAAAACAGAACCAGCACTACAAACATGAGGTTCTTGTCTCGATCCACAGGGAGGAGGGAAGGAAAGCAAAGCTCGGGCTGAACTCCGGCCGCTCTAAATAAGTCACCACTATAAATCATTAGGAGCTAAATTCAAAATACTTATATCTCCAAATATATCTGCATAGTTACGACTGGGCTTAGTAGCATTTACTAATAAGTACAATACATACGAAAGATATATTTTAAGTGATTATTGTAAGAAGAAACCCTTCTAAAGTTTTTAACTTAATATGTTTAAATACAAGGTTATACTCAGAGATAAAAAATATATATACAAGATGATAAATAACAGTTGCATTTTATTAATTTTTTAAAGGCTAGAAATTTGTGTCACTGTTTTGTTTGTTTGCTTGTTTTCTTTTTTAGAGATGAGGTCTCATTCTCTCACCAGGCTGGAATATACTGGCATGGTCATAGCTCACTGTAACCTTGAACTCCTGGAACAAGTGATCCTCCTGTGGAGTAGCTAAGACTACAGAGGTGTGCCAACATACCTGGGCAATTTAACAAAAAAAAAACTTTTTAGAGATGAGGTCTTAACTGTATTGCCCAGGTGAGTCTCAAACTTTGGGCCTCTAGCAATCTCCCCACCTTGGCTTCCCAAAATGTTAGGATTACAATTATGAGCCACCACACCAGCAATTCTTTTTTTATTTCGAACTTACTACAATTCTATTCTGCACCAATATACACATGACATAAAAGAAGTGAGACTATCATTGCCTTAGTTCCTATCAGTGTCCCTCAACAATTCAGTGGGTTGCCTTTTCTTAAGATTGAGAGAAGAGTAGAAAAATGATTCAAGAACAGGAAGAAAAAAATGAAAGAATACGGGGTATTTAGCCTGAAGAAAATCAGAATTGACGATTTTCACAAACTTAGAGAAAGTAAATCATAAAAAAGATGCTGAGCAACTGTTCAGCTAAAAACAGAATCACAAGAAATGAACTTAGATTGAACTGAGTAGTTTAAGTAACTCTTAACTTCCAATCCTCTGTCGGACTCATGCCTGACATAATGATTCTCCTGTTCCACTCCAACGTCGGAAGACGTCAACATGTTTTTTTGTTATGTTTTTGCCTGTGTGATTCAGAAAATGGTTATGTGTTTTCTCACATTCCCTATTCGGCAAAACAACAACAGAAAGTCTTATTCATCCTGATTTGCCATTTGCATCTCGAATAGTGATTCACTTGGCACAAGTCTTACAAGCACATACAAGTGCTTCAGGCTGTCACATCCACACTGACGGGTTCTACAAGAGCCCTCAACTTGCTCGAGAATTGCATAAAATGAAAACACATATTCCAGGAACAGTTATGCCTTCTAGGAAGGGTTTACCCAGTGATCTGAAGAAGAAGAAACTTCAGGAATATGAATTATGTGCTCATCAATGTGATATGAAAATGATGTGCCTCTCATTCCAGGACAAGACCATAGTGACAATGCTGAGCACGTTCTTTGGTTCTCACACACAGTTGATCACTGGGTATACTGTTCAATTTGAAAAACGGACACTTATTTTAGAATACACAAAGTTTATGGGACGAGTGGACAGAGCTGGTCAGTACTGTGGATATTACGGATTTACAAGGAGGTCTTACAAATGGTAGAACAAATTATTCTTCTGGCTGATGGAAGTTGCAGTTGTGAACAGCTATGTCCTTTACTCATTAGATAAGGAGGAGAGTGGAGAGAAAGTACAGACACACCCTCCTTACGGGGGACATCTCATCATCAGCTCCTGAGCAATATGAGGAACAGAAATTCAGGAAAGAGGGAAGACCATCATCTTCTGACACTGAGGAAAGGTTAAATGGGAAGATGCATTTTATAACAAAAAATGAAAAGAATCAACAAAAGATTACATGGTTTGCAGCAGAAAAAATGAGAAAGGTGGAGGAGAGAGACCATTTTCTATCCTAAGACATGCAAGAGGAAGCCTGGAGTTCATCCTGGAGATTGCTTCAAGAAGCATCACACTCAGAGAAATTACAAATAAAAATGAAAACATTTTAATTATTTTATGTAACATAAAATAGATAAAATCATCAGGTGAGTTCATATTTATGTTTTTCCCCCTTAAAACTATAAGATGCTTATAAGTAATCTACCAACTTTTTCCCACCCAAAATAAATACAAGCTGGGGAGTGTCGGATGTCATAGAAACTGGATTGGGAGGTTCTAAAGAAGAGCATCCCATTAGAACAACAGAGTGGATTCTGCAAGGAATCACCAACAGAACCTCTGGGTTTTTGTTTGTTTTTATCATAGTTTTTGGCTTCATTTGTGTGTTTTAAGATACACAACGTGCATCTTCTAAAAAAAAAAAATGACTTAGCCGTAGACCCTTTAAGGCTAAATGTCACGATACCTACAGTTTATACTTTGCTCCATAGTTCAGTGAAGGTAGAATAACTTATACATTAGTATATAATTAAATGGTTTATTTAACATTATAAAACTTCTACTGCCTCTATGTAGAGGGTCTATCTGATACAAGAGGAAGCGACAGGAAACTTTCCAGGGTGTATAGAAAGCTGTTCTATTTATTAGGCTTGACAAAAGGCTTCTTAGAACTGCTGCCTGTATTAAAATTAAAGTATTAAAAACTGGAGAATTCTTTACACAAGAAACTTTATACTTGTTTGATTATCTCATGATCTTTGCAGTAGAAGCGTTTGCAGTGAGGTTTGAGGCTAAGAGCTAATCAAGTGTTAGGTCTATCATGACATGAAAGCCAGAAATTTAAGCAGAAGGGAAAATGAGGCCCAATCCAAGATCAAACACTGGCTCTGATGTGTTTTCATAAGTAGGTTTTCTCTTTCCTCAATTAGTGAATTTAACTGGTGTACTCAGATTAAAAATTATTGCCCTATCCTCACAGGAGGATGAAAAAACATATCAGCAGACATCATTTTAGAAACCCTCCTGTCCACATACACGGCAGTTATAATATCTAACTTATCTCTCAAATCCAGTCCTGACGGGAGTCTCCAAAATTATGTCCTTCTCTAATAGTGTATAACTATTACAACTTTTATCGGAACATTTTTTAGAGACTAAAGATAAAAACTACAACTACAAACATAGAAAGGATTCAAAGTTTTAAATCTCAACTACCTCCATCCTTGCCACAGAAGAAACTAACTGCTTTCAGGGCATCAATATGACAAGTGGTGGCTGCAGTCCTTCACCATTTGAGGCCTCTAGAGGGGACATGACTACTAGCCCCTGACACCCGAGCACAGAGGAGACTGCCCGTGGGCAGGGTCACTCTAATCAGAAGCCGGGAAGTCCTAGGGGAGAGGTTAGCTTGTTCAGTTTTTCAAAGAAACTCATTATGAACTACCCAATATTTGTGTGGTTATATATACACACACACACACATATATACATATAAGTATAAATATAATGTGAGATATATATACTTCTGGAATTAGATCATTTAACTAGAAAAGGTTGATAACAGCTCATAACCAATCAGTTGGCTCAATGAAGGAACAGAAAAGCATCCAAATTATTAGAAAGGAGAATCTGGAGAACTAAATATATTTAGTGGAAAATGTACAAGAGAATAGACTAATACTATTCATACAAACACTATCGTTTTAATGAAATGGAAATTTCTGATTCACTCAACCGAACAGATATACTTCACTTGGTAAACACTCTTATCTTTCTCTTAATACACAATTCAAATATCACTTTATTTATGAAACTTCATTGTAGTGCCAAGACTTCAACTCCCAACCAGTTAGATTTTAGGAATAATTCTGAAGAAGAAAAAGTTATTTAGGTTACCAGTAAGTTATGAGCCTTATGAGACACTAGATGGCGCTAGACAGTAAACAAAGTTAGATGGAGGCGGCAGAAGGAGCAACGTGCCCCACAGTCACCTGAAACCTGAATAATCAACTCTCTGCTAGACTTCATTGTGCAAGTCAAAAAGGCACA